GTCATGTATTAACGATAATAACAGTAACGTCATAACTCACTAACGATTGTCATATATAACAATGGTAACAGCACTAATAAAGAGTTCAAATGTCCACATTAACATGTACATGTAGTTTGACTCAAATACATGTATTTAACAAAACATTGCTGAAAAATCGACTACAATTCTGAACACCAAAAGGTAATATTGGTGCGCGGACAATTGGCACCCGGACAACTGGCACCCGGACAATTGGCATCCGGACAATTGACACTGGACAATTCACACCAGGACAATTCGCACCCGGGTGATTCACACCCAGTATAATAAACCATTGAAATTGGGAACAAGGCCATCTGGATGCGAATAATCTTGGGTGCGAGTTGTCCAGGTGCGAATTTTTCGGGTGCATGTTGTCCTGGTGCCAGTTGCCCGGGTGTTAATTATATGAGTGCCAATTGTCCTAGTACCTTACAATGCCTTAGAAGCAACACTAAAACTCAGAGCAGCCAAGTTGGACCCCACATTCATCTAGCGAAGAACTTTCTTCAAACTGGCAAACTTCCCAGTTATATCAGCCACATCAAAGTTATGGAATACTACATTTTCTGGATCATGGTTGATGACAGTTAAGTGACCATAGAATATTCTGTTGCATTCAACTGAGGTGATGTCTTTCGCCACTGGCATCCTGAAGTTCTTTCCCGTTTGATGCAGAAAACTGAAGACCGCTTCGCCATCATCTTTAATTTTAGTTGCGAGCCCTACATAATATCTTCTGGTGAAGTATACACAGTAGTATTTACCAATTTCAACATCCTAAAAAGATAAAATGCAACTTATAAACCCGCCAGTCTTCGGCTTTTGCTATCACCAGTTACTGTAACATAAATTACTGTAGAATTGCAACATCCCAGATGGCAGCACTCTCAATATAACGGCTCTTGACTAATTCTACAGTTATTGATAAAATACTATTACTCAGGCATGCAAATGCTTCAAGACTGAAAAACCTGCAATAGCACTTTCAAGCCTGAAAATAAAGGTTCTAATCTAGTGGAATAATGATAATGACAATGCATTTAGCCAAGTTGGCAAGATTTTCAGGCTTGATATAATGTGAGGTTCTGTAATATTCCCCTGGGCAGTCTTTAGCTGTTGACTATTGTTCAGTCTGGAGCGCTGTGGTCAAAACAAACCAACTCACCTGTATGCCTCCTAGGTGCTCCACATCACCAGAGTCTGTGGCAGGGAATCCTGGAATACAGAAAGTGAATATATTTATTAATGTAGGTCTATTAAACACTCTGGTCCTTTCATTTACATACTGACACACACTCCTGCAATGGGACACATTGTGAACTTACCATTCTGTTCATCTCCATGATCAACAGTGTCGCCCAAGTCACCAGGTTCACTGACATCACCATGCTCCACATTACCAGAGTCTGTGGCAGGGAATCCTGGAATACAGAAAGTGCATATATATTTATTAATGTAGGCCTACTAAACACCCTGGTCCTTTCATTTACATACTGACACACACTCCTGCAATAGAGCACATTGTGAACTTATTCTGTTTATCTCCATGATCAACAGTGTCGCCTGTCATCAGGAGCTCTGTCATGGCTGTGAGCAGGGTGATGTCTTCAGCACACCAATCCGTTTCATCAAGCATAGGGGACAGATGGGCTTCCTTCTCGGGCACACTCATGGGCAACAGTGGGACAAAATGGTTAGGACTCCATATTATCCCTGGCTTGCTAGCATTACATCTATGACATTGGCATAAGCATTACAGCTTGATGATTGCAACAGCAGGATCTTTCTCAATGCGAGGCATGACTTTCCTGTTGATAACATCTCGAACTGTGGCAGATCCCAATTCTGGATATACTGATTGTATGGGGCAACCCAATACACTTGACATCGCACAGAGTTCCCACATTCCAAGGTATTTCCCATTTTTAATGCATTTCAAGGTCAGATATTCATAGGCCTCCTTTATGACTTGTTCTGTAATGCAGCCACTTGGCAAATGAGCATCCGAGAAAATTGTACGCATTTCCATCTGGTAAGAATCTCCGTTCAGGTAATGAGCCATCTTGCTTGCCATCTCGCATGTAATTCTCACTCGTATCTCCTTCCAGGCATTTTCATGAGCAAAGGCAAAAAAGCTTCCTGCACGTGGCAGGCAGTTGCCATCTGCGGTGGTGCAGAGAAGATAAAGACAACGTGCAGCATAATCGGATGGTATCAGTTTAAGGGCCAGCTGGTCAATAGGACGACTCACACTCAGTATAGACACGGAGTCTGCCATTCCCTGGATAAGGTAAGCATCTACCACTGGCTCAACTTCCTTGACTTTGCTTCGGAGGGCATCAATGTCAGCTGCTCCCAGGAGATATTTATAAATTGTATCGAAGTCCTTGTCCCTCTTGCCAGTGTAGACCAGGGCTTTGTTTTGGTCATTGCGGTTTTGTTTTGGATTTCCTGCAGCTTTTCTTTCATTAGGCTTGATGTTTCTTTCATTAGGCTTGGTGTTTTCTTTATAATTTTCTGCGGTTTTCCTTTTACGCTTGGTGTTTTGGTCATTGCGGTTTTGTTTTAGATTTCCTGCAGCTTTTCTTTCATTAGGCTTGGTGTTTTCTTCATGATTTTCTGTGGTTTTCCTTTTACGGTTGGTGTTTTGGTCATTGCGGTTTTGTTTTACAGGTTTGCCTGTTGATAAATCAACTGTTACCCAATCATCCACATGGTTCGAATTCTGACATCTATCTTTGCCTGACATGCAAGCATCACAGAAGCAGGCCAAATTCCTGGTTTTCAGCATCATATTCGCAACTGACCTGACGAAATGCAAAGCTCTGGTGCCTGTTACTGTGCGTGCCGAACAGTCTGCTCCATGATCCACGTCCACAACAAGGAAAAACACTCTCCTGCTTGGCTCATCTTCTTTCGTCAGTTCTTTCTTGCAGAAGTCAAACATTTCTTGTGCATTTGAAACTACTGCCCTTCTTTCCCTCACTGCATTTCGCACAAAGGCCTTTACAACGCCTGTAGCACCATCAGATGGCCCCTTTCCATGACGGCTACCGAAGAAAACTCGCGTGACATCAACTTCCAGGTCTCTTTCAGCTTCAGAAATGTGTTGGAATGGCATACGGCTTTTGTATTGAGACCCACATCCATCAGTGAACTGGATCAGGTGCGAAAATGTAAGCAACCTCTTTTCTCTGAGATGACCGACGGCTGTTTCAACAAATTTCTTCACAGCGAAAGCATCGTGCAACTTATCAGGAGACAAGAATATTATTTCCTCCTTCACTATATTTCCCGTGGTAGGACACCTGTAGTAGCTTACAATCGGGTGAACCGTCACCTGTTCGTGATACCAGTGGGCAGACTGCGCTTCATCTTGATAAAATGTGGCGTAATTCTGCCCGAAGTCGAGTACCATGATGACTGTACCCACTGGTACATTCTTGATCAACTTTGTGAATTGGTGCTGCTGCCACAAAGCGTTGAAAAGATGGACAGATTGCGACTCCATATCACGACACAGCTCCTCTATCAGAGATGCAGCAGTACCAGTCACACTCACAAGTCCCTTGTATGACTTGACATCGGTCAGGTTGATGATCCCCCATTTAGACCACTGCACATCTGCCTCCGATTTCAACGGTTGTAAGATATCTTGTAGCTTTCGAGCACCACATTGAGAACAGGACCTCTCCACACATTCTCTCTTGTGATAGGACTCAGACTTTGGGCACAGGGTGTAATTGTTGACAGTAAACCGATTCGCTATTACTTCACGAATATCAGGCTTCTTTTGAGCGACGCACATTTTCTGAATTACCTGCAGCTTGAGCTCTATGTTCGCACAGTTCACAGATACATGCATTGAGGGCACTCTTTGTCTGTGGTTTAACATTAGGTGGCCTCAACGCAGCAAACTTCGATCTTCCAACACGGGTTTTGGGATGTTCATCCTTGAAATCCTGGTAATGTTGATTTAGGGTCTTTTGTAGGATGTAGCGGCTGTTCCCTTTCTGAACTTTTCGTGCATCTGGAAGCTGGATAGATACATCTGGCCGTATGTAGTAGTCCTTCACTTTGACTATGTTACCGTCAGACAGAGCATCTGAACGTCTGGTTTCAACTGGAAGTTGCGAACATTTTATTAGAAATTTCTTCCTAACACCCGTAAATTGGCGAGCAACTTTAAGGCTGTCATAGTGGCGAATGAGAGCAGTAACGAAATTCCTCCTTGTTTTCCGTGGTCCACGTAGATGTGATCTGCCAAGTTCCTGAACTGTTCTCCTCAGAGCAGTACCATCCAGGTTCTTCCGAGGAGAGTGGATGCCAACCTTCCTCAATGCTTTCTTCTTATTTGGGGATGAATTAGCAATTATACTCAACAACACGTTCGCAATCTTATTTGCAGCTGTAGGTACAACTTTCTTCACGCGACTCACTGCTTTTCTCTTGGCTACAGGTGAGCAAAATGGAGCGGTGTCTGGTTCAACTTCCTTCCCAGAGACCTTCTCTTTTGGTTGTGATGCTTCAACCTTTTCCACTGTGTGTCGTTGTCTATCGTACTCCTTGACTCTACGATTCCTCTGTGGTCCCTGTCTGGCACGAGATTCCTGCTTCTTTTTGCGGTTGTACTCGCGTAAATTCTCTATTGCTGCCCTCGTTTTTGGTCTGGACCTGCAATAGATGACATTGCAATTTTGTAGTACCACATCACGCCCCATGGCTAGCTTTGGTCAGCATGATCATAGTTATTAAAGGAACCGGTTAGACTTATTTTATTTTTGTAAATTGATGTCTGCAAATAGTACATGTATTTCCGGCAATCGGACCTGTGAGAAAATCCTAGCCATGAACTTTGCCTGTCGGATGAGATGTAAAGCCATGGTTCTGTCTGTTGTTCATGATACTGTACACGTAAAAGATCATGTTGCATTAGTCAAAGAAATGTAGGTGTGGGATCCTTTAGAAACCCAGTATCATTTATCATTCATTCATTAAAATCTTACCTTAACCTGCTCTGATCTTTCTGCCTTGCAACCTGTTCCAGAGTACGATTCTGTCACCTAAATTGTGATCGTTGGCACTCCGTTTTGAGGTATCTGGGAAATGTTAATATATTTTTAAAAGTATGAACAGAGTACGGTCGGTACCTAATCTTGACTAATTCTACACCGTTGGTCAGGATCAAGTGCCAGACACTAATAAATCATTGTCTCATTTCCCATGTTTTTCAGGTTGCACACAAGACTCGACCAAACGATCGAAGAAACCCTGGTAGTTGGGTCCATCCATGGTACACCGACAAAAAGTGTGACATCAAAATGTCAAACATCACGACCGCAACAATTGTATGGCCAATTTTATTCAGCAACCAAGCTTATTAAAAAAAATTGGTCACGTGTCCAAGGGTAAAGCATCTTTTCCCCCTTAAATCACTTTGACAACTGCTCCTACTCATGATTTGATTTTTATGAGCAAAAATTCAGTGTTGCGGTGGTGACATTTGACATAAATTGTCAAACATCACCGCCGCAACATATCGAATCATTACAGGCTTAATTGATCCGAAATTGAGAGAATGATGCTGTTGTGTCGGAGGGGCAAATCTTATTCAGCCATCAATTCATTATGACAACCACTCGTGCTCTTATAATGGTTTTTATTAAAAAAATTAAAATTTTTTTTTGTCAAACACCACCACAGCAGTTTGATAAATTTGTCAGATTATATTATCCAAATGGAGAGAATTGTGTTCTTAGTCCAAGCCAAAATGCTTTATTTTCACATCAATTCACAATGAAAATCTCTCCTGGTCTTGATTTGATTTTTATGAAAGGAAAAGTAGTGTTGCGGTGGTGATTTTTGACATCAAACAAGGGAAACTAGGATCAACTACCTCTTGAGTTGCCCTGGAATGACTTAATACTGTGAATTTCTGGGATTGACAAATTGAGAATTACTTGCATCATCAGCATTGGAATTATTAAGAATGAATGGTAGAAGATATAGGCCACAAGACCACTATAAGACGACAAGGATCCCTTATTTTGAACCCGATATTGACCATAAATAATCCACATGGTCTCCAATGAACACATTACAATAATTAGATTTTTGTGTATTATTTGAAAATAAAACATTTCTATTATAAAAAAAATTATTTAAATAAAAATTTGAGAATACTCACTCGCTGTACACCTGCTTGTTATTTTTTCTCTTTTCCCGGAACAGTTTCGATCTCTCGACACGGCTCATTGGGGCCGCGTCCGGGGGATTTCTGCCAGGCCATCCTGCCGTCTTTCTCTCTCTGAGAGAGACCCTTGAAAAAAAATTGTGTTTGTATAAAATATAGCGTAGACGTAGTGATGATCCATAGACACCGGGTACATTATTTCCAGTGTGCATGAATAGCTACAATTGTAGGCTTAATAATATTTCATGCATTTGTATTCATGCACCACCATCTGGATGAAGCCTAAAGGAACAAATTGGTCAAGAATCACGACCACAACGAATAACGCCCAATTCGGGGGTTGCCATCCTTGTGTATAACATTCGGATGCAGTCTTATAAAACACTAGCATGATGAATCCAGTTTATTTCTAAATGAACTGAAGTAGCTTCTGAAATTGCCTGGCTTGGGGCAAAATAAACTTGATGTGTCGGTCGTGACTCTTGACTTACAAATCATTGGTCAATAATCACGACCACAACGGCTAGAAATTACGAATACGCCGACTCATCTAAAGTGGCAAACTTTTATGACAGCTTTCGTGCATTTAAAAAGTGCTATAATCAAGATGCAATATATCGTTTTACAGGCAAGTATAATCTACATAAACTAGCGCATCAGCATGTTACAAAACATTCGGTCGTGATGCATCGTTTTGGTCGTAATTAAGCAAAAAACAATTGACAAAATCACAAACCTTAAAGTCGGCGCCATTGGCAAGAGGTTGAAAGCTTGCTTCGTCGCTCGTTCATAAGTGAGTGACGTCACGTCCATGCGGACTCAAACTCCTGTTTTAAGGTGCATTGTGACCCTAACCCTAACCCTAACCCTAATCCTAACCCTAACTCTAAAAAATAACCCTAACCCTATTAAAAACAAAATTTATTAAATTTTGTACAGTCGAAACTGTGACGTATGTCTGACGTATGCGAGCGACGAAACAAGCTTTCAACCTTTTGCGCGCCATTGCAGCTGCATTCCAGGATGTGTGTAATACGGCATCGTTTTATGCACATTTGTACTCCATCATGTGATCTGCCTGACCTCGTTTCAGTAAGGTTATAAATAGAATTCCAGGAAATGAATTGGCTTGTTGTGGTCGTGATTCATTGACGGAAAATGAAAACTTTTTTTTGACATGCAATGTTCTTGGCATAGGACGATGGGAATGATGTGACAATGAATTGATATCAAATGATTGACACCCAAGACTAAGATTCAACTTCAAATTAATTTCATCGTGTTTTTCTTGGTGAAAAAAAACAAATGCTGTGTGTGTTGTTAGCTGATGTCTGTATACTGATGGTGTAATAATATAGCTGGCGTGTGCGGTGAGTGTACGCGGACACGACGACGCAGCACTCTCGCATGTTTGCTGTCCCGGTCGGAGGTCGTGAGTGAGCTTACACTTGCGTTACTACAGAAGCTAACGCTGACAATCGCAGGTTTTTCCCCAACAATTTGCATTCGCCCCGCGAACCGAGCTTTCGCATATTTTGTAGTAACGGCCCTGTCAGGGTGCGCGAAACAATGGCGACCTGACCTATGGCCACTGCCAATGGTGTAGTAACAGAGAGAGGGAGAGAAGAAATCGTTACACTTGTAATGGTTGCCTTCCTTACTTGTCATGGTTGCCCTCCTTACTTGTCATGGTTGCCTTCCTTACTTGTCATGGTTGCCCTCCTTACTTGTCATGGTTGTCCTCCTTACTTGTCGTGGTTGCCCTCCTTACTTGTCGTGGTTGTCCTCCTTACTTGTCGTGGTTGTCCTCCTTACTTGTCATGGTTGCCCTCCTTACTTGTCATGGTTGCCCTCCTTACTTGTCGTGGTTGTCCTCCTTACTTGTCTTGGTTGCTCTCCTTACTTGTCGTGGTTGTCCTCCTTACTTGTCATGGTTGTCCTCCTTACTTGTCATGGTTGCTCTCCTTACTTGTCATGGTTGCCCTCCTTACTTGTCGTGGTTGCTCTCCTTACTTGTCGTGGTTGTCCTCCTTACTTGTCATGGTTGCCCTCCTTACTTGTCATGGTTAACCTTCTTTCTTGTCATGGTTAACTTCCTTACTTGTCATGGTTGCCCTCCTTACTTGTCATGGTTAACCTTCTTTC